CTACTCCCCTCCCCTCCCCTCCCCCCCCTTCGCATCACGATTGGCATCGGTTTATTTGGCAATGATCCCGAGAAGCGTAAGCTTCGACTTTGTAGGCGTAAGAGAGCGCGGCGAACGATTCGGCACACTTGATTACGAACGAGTACAAGACAATACATGCCGATATTTAAATGCGCCTTCTCGACTCTTGACTTTCCTTCCTAACTCGTGTTTGTCTTCGGCCAGGAGTCTGATCCGTGTGTTACATGTGCGCGGCGTACAAATATAACGATGCCGCCTCCAACTGCCTTCCTAACTCGTTGCAATTTGCATCATCACGCGTTGGAAATATCATATATAATTAATTTATTTAAATATATAATTTATTTATTTTTGAAAAATTTTTTATGTTTTGTGATTTTTTTATATTTGCAATTTGCGTTCGAAGCGACTCATTTTTCATTTGACGCGGAAGATCATCAAGAATTATGTAACGAACGTGTTATTTTTTTTTTTCCATAACGCAACGTAATTAATGGCGGTCCTATACGAAATATATTTTGATCGTACAACAATTTATGTTAAAGGAAACGTACGCGGTAATAATTTCTATTTTTTCGCGTTTATAAATTATCTTATATAAAGACGCGATAATATAATATCCTTCGCTATATTGTATTGAGGTTTCAAGTTACGATTTCGAAAGTCTAAATAATTAAAGCCTAGCATAACTTTTACTTCCTATTAATTAGAAACGATACGTTCGCTTTAGAGACGAAACTTTTATATCATATATTTCTAAATTTCACGAAATTAGTAAAAGCAGAATTAAACGATGATGTCAGCATATGATTAGTGTAGTCGTTTAAGTTATGTTATGGGATACCTTTGCACGAATACACGTACACTTTGTACACACGCACGCACACGTAGAATAAGGCAAATGGTGACAGTTCCTATCATGAATCATTTAAGATTAAATGATTTTTATTTACATGTAAATTTGTCAACCAACAAGTTATTAATATCAATATAGCATATGGCAAATATCCAAATTCCAAAAAGAAAAATTATATTTTTAAAAAATCAATTGCGAATTTTAGAAAAATATTTAAAAATATTTATACATATGTTTCAATTATAAATTGATATATATATTTTTTATTTTTATTCCTTTAATGTTAAAAACAGATTTTTTTTTTAAGTTTTATCTTTATATTTCATTTATTTTTGTTTTTCATATTCGAATACATGTACAAGATTACAATATAAATTTGGAATATCTCTTTTCATTCTTGTATGCCATATGTTTTTAACAATTTCTCTAACTAATTACAATCGCATAAATAAATAACGTATAAATAAATAAAACACCTTACAAACAACTTACAAGTAATCGTTCTTCGTTTCTTAATTCTCGTCGGCAAGTATATAGCCGTATAAGTTGAAAGATTCGCGAAAAATGAGCATTTCCGAGCGTTAGTCGCGCCGAGAGATCACGGCGAGGCCCTACGCGGCGGGCGTTCGTCCTCGCGGCAGTATTTTAAAGGTCAACCGCGAAAGGGATAGGTGCGACGTATCTTCCAGTTTCATCATCCTCCATCGGTCCCGAAGGAGATTCGATTCTCTATGGGAGGCGCGAGGGTTCGTGCCCCGCTCGCATGTGCCCGGCATGTTTCTAACAAATTTTCAGGGGATCCGACGCGCTCGGCGTCGCACGCGCCCTTCAGGTAATACGCATAGGACGAGAGAGATCCGCGTCCCTTTCGCGACGGATATAGAGACGTACGAGATCGTATCGCGACGAGCGAGGACCTAATGGCCTCACGCGAGGCGACGCACGCCGCGGCAAAAAGCGCCTCCTCGATATCCCACACCCCATAGGGTGATACCATCTACTATAGCGGATAACACCCGTGCAATCGAGAGCTCGGATCGCGAGATTACGCGGACCAGATTAAGGCACCTCGCTGGTGCCGTGCGCGCGAGAAGGTGTCGATGGACGCCGGTAAACTGAGATCTACGGATCTCGATCTCGCCCGCGAAACTCAAACGGAGAGTTAGTTGCGGGATCGTCGAGTTTTCCTCTTTCTCTCGGGTGGACAGAATTTGTAAAAGTTTTCCCCGCCAAGTCCATTTTGTTGAAATTTGTTGAAAACGTCTAAAAAATTGTACGTGCGATTTTCAAATACATATGGGACTATACGCTATACGGGATAAATTTTAAAAAATATGAGAAAGAGTACAAATCGTATGTATTGGTAATTGTGTAAATGTTGTTTTATACAAATGTGCACATATAGTTACTAAAATAATATATAAAAAATATATTTAGAAAATAAAAGAGTGAAAAATGCGCATTATTTAGAGGATTAATAAAAGAGATCAAAATGTTAAATCTAAGATAATAAGTGGTAGCTGAAATTGTCTGTCTCTATCAGAGAGAGGATTTAAATAATAATGAGAGGTTTTTAGAAAAACATCGGTGCATTAATTTGAGCAAAACAAAATGTCACAAGCATTTCCAGTTCTGATTTTATCCCTTATATCTTATGGAATTATTGTCCGTGGCGATACGATCTCCATCGGTCGTAGACTTAGAGATTATGTTCTTTGATCCGCTCAGCTACTCAGAACACACCTGCATTTTGCCTGTAAGCTGTTTGTGCACGTGCCGATTACAGCGAGATTTGCATAGTTTCCGCCCGCTTATATTCACCTCTTTCTATAATAACTAGTGCCCTTGTTGTTACACGATAAATTTTAGAGCCGACTTATTACGATCACATTGCTCGTTAGAATTATTGGAAACTATCATTAAGGGCGATTTAATAGAATAATAAAACAGATTGACATGATTATATAGAATAAACATTTTTATTGGATTTTTTTATTACAATTATTATTACCAATCTTATAACTTAATAATAATAATATGATAATTAGAAGTTATATTGATGTTGTTAACAGAGTATATTATTAATCGTCGTGTTAAATAAACGTACATTTTGTGTTTGAACTTTTTTGATGTTGTTTTTATATTAGATATCACGAATTTAAAGAAAAAAAAATGTATGTTGTTTTATTAAGTTAATCTCGAATTAAGTAAAAAAAAAATTAAAAATTACTATTATATATATATATATATATATATAATGAAACAATTTTCGTGGATTTTTTTCTATGTTACGAGGAAATCCAGAAAGTTTTTGGAAAATTCTCGAAGTTCTAATCTGAAAATTATCCAAAATTATTGAAACGGGTGCTTTTTAAATAAGTAACGAGATCACGTGCAAGTTTAATCCGATGGTGGGAATTTCCGTGTGTTACTATGTTCGTTACATGTAATTTCGGTCCGCTCTGGCTAATGCGCAATGCTTAACCCTTTCGCATCAGATGCAACACGTGATGTGTGTGACGTATCTCTTATCTCGGATGGATCAGCTGTACGTTATACATAGTCTGTAATTACCACCACGAGAAGTGAATCCCTTGTAAATGGAAGGAGATTCATTTTCTTCTGTTACGGCGAAGCTAATTGATTAACCTTTCGGGCTTTCCTAGTAGCATATCTTAACACGATATTACAACCTATTTTGGTACACCTATAAACGGGAACGATAACTCTTATCTCAAGTTAGATACCTTTCGCGGTAAATGAGAATCTCAGCCTTATTGAATGCTGGCGCTTCTGCAGATTACAAAATTACTGACTTAAAAGAGGAAATCGGCATCTATCTATATAAAATTGAAAATATTACAGTGATAATATTTATGTTAAAAAAAAATATCAAAGGTTCAGAGGAGTGAAATGTTTGTTTCAAGCAAGAAATTTAATCACTAACTTAAACTGACGATTGATATATTCATAGAAATTACTTTAAAACCGTTAGAAGTGTTATATATTTTTAACTTTCATTAGTTGTCTTTATTTACATTAATTATACCGTCCCAAGTGTTCTATGCCATAATTAAATATACCGTCTTCCGTCTCTTTTCGTAGGACCGTCTGACTGGTCATGGGGGCATCTCCTCGCTGGGCGGCGGGAACTCGTCGCCCTATTCCGGTGCCCATCACCATGGACATCGGGGAAATGGAAACGGGGGCGGCATGCCCCACCACGGGGGCGCTTCGCTGCCGACCGCCTCCGACTTCCAACCCCCTTACTTTCCGCCCCCGTTTCCCTCGCATCACCACGCGCCCGCTAGCCCCCAGCATCCCGGTCTCGGCCAACCGCAACACCTGGATTACCTCGTCGGCGATCCTTATACGCAAACGCTCAACACGCTGCATCAGCACCACTACAATCACCTGAGCGCCGCCGTTACCGCGGGCCAAAGGAGCGGCGATCTCAGGAGAGACGCCGAGGGGATTCACGTGGTGAGTGCTAAAATATGTCTCCCCGCCAAGAATACGTTCGTAAAGAACGTATGCGGAACGTTGCGGAAAAGAGCCTCGTGCAAATTTTTGAAAATTACATTAATAGTATGAAATATCATATTTTATAATTTATATTCATTTATATATATATATATATATATATATTTCTCATTATATTTTATATATATATATTTCTCATTATATTTTATATATATAGTATTTCATAATATAAAATATATTATATTATATTATATAAAATTTTGTGTAATCGTAAAGTATATTACATGAATTCGAAAAATTAACAGCATAGGATGTAAAAAAAAAAGAAGCAAAATTCTCTTTTGAGAAGAAATATTTGAGAAGAAATTTGGACAAGCTCTCTTCAGCACTGACTTCATTCGAGTTAGCAACAAAAAGTATATTTTATATAGTTCCTAAAAAGGAATATTTTATAAAATTTTTGCTCAAGCGATTCATATTAGATTGATAGAAATTTACATGGAACGAGTACAATGCGTTTCGTACGAGTGAATTAAATGCTCGAGAACGTCCAACGATTTGGTATGAGTAACGCTTAAGGAGGTATGCGCTCACAAGGCTATGGGTATTCGCATAATTAACTGTAAAATATAGTCAATTGCAAAAAAGGATTATACAGCCGAGTAACATATACGATTGATTCGCATGTGAGGTTTATATTCTTTAACCCTTTGACTCCATAACTATTTGTTCAGCAACTTATATAATCCGTACATAATCAATCTTACGCGTTCTTCCGACAGACGCCAATGTCATGCACTACATTAGACATTCGAGGCTTGAGTTTTTTTTTTGCATTTGCGTGTCTGTATCCTTTTCATATTTTTTCCTTTACCGTTCTGTGGTGCAAGGATCGCGACAATTTCGCTCATTGGTCAGCAAGTCGTAGAGCTGAAAAAGTCATAGTCGTATGTATACTTTGAACTTAAAAAATTAATATCTATTATATTTTTTGTTGGCTAACTGGAATGAAGTGCTCTCAGTCGTGTTGAAGAGAGCTTGTCCAATATATTTCTTCTCAAAAGAGAATTGTGCTTTTCTTTTAAGAATTAAAGGATTATTTGCAAACTACACATTTGAAATTTTGCAATATTACTGGTGATGAAGAATCAAACACAAAAGAGATTTTAGCATGCGTTTAGGAATATAAGTTTTAATTAATCCCGCATTTGTTATTACACAAGCATTCCATATAAATTATAAGCATAGCAAGTCTACGTATCGAATAATAAGCATCCGAAAGGAGCTAAACGCACTTTGAATGCGGTAGGAAGGCCAGTTCTCGTTCACATTGCTGAATAACGTGATAAGAATTCGATTCATGTAATATTTAATTCATGCGATTCATTAAAATAACGATCACCGTGCTAATGATGCTATAAATTTAATGGCTGATTGACCGTGATTCTCAGCGTATTTATTTATTTAGGTATTGTTAAATCTGCAATATTGATATTTAACACAGAAAGGAAAAAAATTGCAAACGGTACGTAATAAGTAAAATTCGTTGCAAAGAAATGCAATATTTATAATATTCAACGTACCATTTTACCACTTCACTGTTTCGTGAATTATATATTAGATTCAATATACGTATTCTAATCTATTTTGTCACACGTCTGTCTGAAAAGTGAAAGATCCGATTCTTCATCGTGAATTCCTAACGCAGTTTCCTGTACACAGTTTTTGCATGCGTAATTAAATTTTAATCTTCAGTCTTCGTCAAGGCAGCTCAACCGATCATTACCGCCGAGGGGAATTCGTGTTTTTAACGAACGCGGCATAAGCGGCGTGTAATCTTAGGTCGCGCCGCGATCCTTCCTCGTGGATCCCGAGTGACGTATCCCTGGATGGACCGCGCGCGCGGAAGCGTGGAAATCGCGGAGCACCGTCGGCCGGTTTCCGTCCGAGAGAGAGGGAAATGGAAAACGGGCGGAGATCCGGTCACGTGTATCCGCTCCGGTCGGATCGGTACGTCATTAGCGAATCACCCGGGCGTTGTTATTTGTAGGACGCCGCGGCGTGTCCGGCCCGCGCGAGACGCCGCGCGGCCCGGACGTAATGACGGGCGTGGTATCGATGTATCGGATGAGTCGCGGCCAACGAGTCGTTCGGCCCGTGACATCGGTGATTGCGATCGACGATCTCTCCCGCGAGCACGAAGGGGGGGGGGCCAGGACTCTCCGCGGTGCCCCCGCGCCCGCGACATTTCCATTTGCCACGGTGCGCCGGCGGAATACGCGCGTTCCGTCCCGTGTAATGCGCCCCTACGTGGCTGGAAATCGTGCCGGACGAATCCCCGACCTTCTCGTAAACATTCTCGTCCTTCGAGTCCCTCTCGCGAGTCCCTTCGCAAATTGCACGGGAACGCAGTCAACGCGCTCCGTACTCTTCGGAGATGAGTCACGCGCATTGTGGAAGGTTTTTAGTCGTATGTGACATACTTTTTATACTCACTAAATAATAATAAACAGCTCGTGCGTGCGAAGCGAAAGATAAATAAAATAGAAGTTTGAAAGGCCAAGAAACGAGCGACGAGAAAAACCTACTGTAAATGTAAAATTAAAAATGTTAATATAAATAATGTGAATAAGTTTGCTAGTAATACTTTTTCCATTCGTAACGTACATTTTTTCCGAGCGATTTTCACTTTCAAATTCCAACAATGAAAAGTGTTAGATGAAAAAGAGAATACCGTTTATTTCATATCTTTTCATTTAAAGAATTATAAGTTTTTTAAGCAACTCTGGTATAATTTTCTTAAAACATCAATTAAATGATGTTAAAGTTATTTAGTATAAATAAAGAATTAAATTAAGTCAAGATAAAGTAATTGGGCACGGAAAAATATTTTGATTGACTATTTTTTTTCCGTATAATAAGATACAAACCAATCTGAGACATACGCTTTTGTCAAAGTGGCAGCGAAAATTCACATCGCGAATCGTCGATTTTATGCGCGATCTCCTATATTACGGCAACGCCATACCCAGATGTCGAGTATGCGATATGTGTCGGCTTTGGAACCCCAGCGATTATTACAGCAATAGTATTTGTGGTCCACCTTGCACGCTCGGTATTTACGAAGGCACCACCCTAATTATCGCGTCGGCACACGGCACATCACCGTGCCGTTTCTATCGCGGATTACGTTCGTGCCCGATTTCCAAAGGTGTCGTGTGACGTCGGCGCGAAGAGAGAAAGAGAGAGAAGGGGGAGGGGGGGAAATACGTTTCGACGAAATTCGACACGGAGGTGGTGCGACGGTGCGTTTTTCGCTCGGGCCCGTGTCCGTTTCGCGCACCTCCGGAGTTGAGAGCGATTTGTTGCAGAGAGCATCTGTCCACGCCATATGCAGGCTCGAGTTGCCGTGTTCGGCGTTTTATCGAGAACCGCGATATTATTTTCCGTCGGGGGGGGGGGTGATCGAGGGCCGGACGTGCGATACGCCGCGTATATTGCTACTGTAATTTTGTACGTCAGGTAAATTTCTCAACAAACGCGCGCATAGACGCTACAAATCACGGTTGAGTTAAAAATCTGAAATCAAATCCCGGTGAGTTTCCAAGATTCGAACGACAACTGATTTTCTTCGCGAATTAATTTTTACGCGTGCTAAAGATAATGTCGTTTAAATTTAAACGTTAAGTGGATTTTACTTTGACGAAATTTTTATTAAAAATTATACCGTTAAGATAATAGCATTAACGATCGCCAACATTGAATTTTATTGAAGAAACTTGTACTCGATACACTTTAGAGCATAAAAAGTGTTTCAATTCGGTTTAACCGCTTGCGATACGAGAGCGGCTTTGAAAAAGCTCTACCCTCCCGCGATCAAATACGCGTTTATCGATTATCCCAAATATCGCACCCCTTCGAGGCTACTTCTTTAGCCGACGGGCATTCCTGTAGGGTGTCTTCGGTTTTAATGAAATCTCAAAATGCCATACTCCCGATTTCCTGCGATATCGAATCAAATTACAGAATAACGCAATTCTGCATTATTTGTATATCGGTTGTTTCTGTTTTCTATTTTTCGACTAAAGCGCATGTTATAACACTTGCAAGTTGATTCTAAGAAATGCTTCGACTACGAGAGGAGACTATTGAGAAAAGCTTACTTAACAAAAAATGTGCATATCTCAAACAGGAGCCGTGCGAGTTCTTAACGACCATTTTCATATACAATTTTTTTATTTGTGAAGTCAATAACAGCCTGAACGAGGATCGCCAGCCAGATTACAAAAAAGTGAAAAAATCTGCTGTCATTGCTGCGATGAAAAGAATATCGATAACTTAAAGATTAAGAAAAAAACAGCACAAAAGAGTTTGCATTATAAGCAAGTAATTATCCGTACTGTATGCGTGTGTTATGAAATATTGACGGTTGCATGAATTGATATTTAGAGTGTCAATACTTGTTCATAAACTTGTTAGCATAGTACTTATTAATATTGTGTAATTAATCGATTGCTTAATTGCGAATGAATTAACGCCTCGAAATAATCATATCGTAATTGTCACTTCAGATGTATCATATCCGCTACCTCATTTAAAATAAATTCCATAATTTAAATGTAAAAAATATTGGTTATGAGAAGCATTTAAATATTGATGCAAATGTGACTTTTGGCACTCAATATATTTCGATAAAACTAGCAAAAAATATTTACAAACTTCTTATTACTTAAATATCTATTATATATTTAGAAAAAATAATGTTTACATAATATATATTATATATATATTATATTATATAAATATTATTACTTCTTAAGATTGCAGTAGAATTTTTTGTTTGTTTGTTTTATATTTACAAAACTTAATAAAACCGCGCCAAAAAAATTTCTTCGTCGATTAAACGTAATGGATATTCTTCTCACTTTTAAATTGCAATATCTCGAACGGTTCTGGAAACGATGGATAGGGGACAAACGTGATGGATAGACAACAATGAA